CTGTTGATATTTATGTTACACAAAAAAGTCCATATTGACCTACATAAAAGGAAGACTACTGCTCAACAAGTGCACTCAAGTTCAGATATGAATATTTCAATACACGAAATGCTTTACTAATCCAGGAGTCAAACAAGAGTAGTTGCAGAGGGCAGTATGTTCTATAGTTTCAGGGAAGGAGTTTATTTACAATATCCATGTTAGGAATTGCTGCCAAAATTTTGCTTTCTCCAAATTTTTTAAAGAGCCAGTCACGGTAGCCAAGCGGTCTAAGGCATGCACTCTCTTCACTCGCTCGGAAGCCGGGATCGTGGGTTCGAATCCTACTCAGGGCATGGATGTTTGTGTGCATTCTTCTGTGTTTGTGTACAGGTAGAGGCCTTAAGACGAGTTGATCACCCGCCCAAGGAGTCCTACCGCATATCTAAGATCTAGTAAAACTGAAGTGAAACGGAGAGTTTCATGGAGGTAGGCCTAGGCCCAAATGAGGGCTGTAACGCCAATGAAAAAAATAAATTTTGAAAGACGGATCCTTATTTTCAATCTACATAGTTAATATTTTTATTCAATCATTAGAAACATAGTTATGTACCCATATTTTTATTTGCTTCAAACCGTTAACATTTATTGACTACCTTACTGAGATAAGAATTTACATTCTTAGTGTTACGTCTTGTTATATATTTTTATTTCTGTAAATTAAATTATGAATTCACTCTTGTTTACGTTTTTCTACCTGTGAACAAACGCATCGCATGTACTGGTATCAGAAACTTTCACTGGCTCTCAAGCGACTGAAGTGGTCATAAGAAATGTTTTGCTTGTAGACTGATACAGTGATGACAACATGATACATATATATTCCTAAAAAGAATGGTCAAATTAGTATGGAGTGTGACATGGGTGATTTTGTATATTTGAAACAACTATATTGCACAAAAAAAGACTCTTCTGGACTTAAGTCACACTTCATTTCCTGACAGTGAACAAAAACACTCAGAGCCTGTGTTTTACACTGCTATTTACTTCTGTATCTGCAGTTAGATATTACAAAAAAAATACTATAGCAGCTGTGTTGTGGATACAGTGCTAAGGTGATACTTGAACTTAATGGAAAGTAAATAATAGAAGAACTGACAGAACTCCGTACTGAGGAACTTCATAATCTGTACTCTTCACAAATTTTAAATGAGTACCAGGAATTAAATAATTTTCCTGGGGAGTAAAGCGCGGCTGGCATGTAAGGCTGACAACCTTACCGCCATCTTTGAGGCGATTGTCTAGATAGTGTGGGAACCTCAATGTCTCACAGCCCTATGGGCCTTCACCGCCTCTTACAGGGATACCTTTACTTCTTTTTTATTAAAATCTAAGATTATGAGATGGGCGGGCATATGACCCAAAACATATATTGGGAGAGATGAGAAATGCATATAAATTTTGGTCAGAAAAATCAACGGAAAGAGACCATCTGGGTAAATACATTCATTGGCTGGATGATATTAAAACAGAACAAATGGACTGGATCCATTTGACTCAGGTCTGATTTCAGTAGCAAACTGTTGTGAACATGGTAATGAACCTTTCAGTTGCATTGAAGGTGGTGAATTTCTTGACTTGTCCTGCAGTTAGTAGCCCACCAAGGTTTCCGCTGCATGAGGTCAGTTGGCCATAAAACTCAAGACATGAACCCGAAACTCAGTTCCTTGCTGTACTGTCACCGGTACCCACAGCGCTGCTCAATTTAAACTTGTCCATTATCTCCAAATTGAGTACATACAGCCTTCTTCACCTTGCTACTTAAGCAACCCATGTTCTACGAATAATCTTGTTCACGCAGTCAGGACATGTTTCTGGGGGTTTGAGTTCAGTTGTCTCAAAGTATTTTCAGAGGCAACAGATTAATTGTAATATTCATGAGTAGTTTAATTTATATCCATGTTTTGTGCACTGAAGTTACAAAATAAAAATGCACCGATGAAATTAACGCATTCCGGCTCATATGTATTTATTATATTAAATTTATTAAACCTTTAAGTGCCGAATTTCACCTGAATAATATATATAATTCAGTTCGTACGTCACAGGAAACACTTTACGTCTCCCCTACAAAGACCAACCGGTTAATGCTGACTAGGGAAATATTCATTGTTTACTGAGACAGCCATTTGAAACACACAAAAAATACTCTTTGAGGAGAATCCGAAGTTGTGATATGCTAAAGCAGGCGGAATATATAACAATCACTGGGCTTTAAAGGGTTACCTACAAAAAGTGCGAAGACATAATGTCATTCTGTGTTTACCACGCCTGGGAAATTTATTCATTCATGTTCTGTTGCTGTATATGGGGTTCAGTAAAAAGTCAAGAAGTTCTGCGTGCACGCGTATAATCATGCGTGATAATCTGTCAGGCCCGTATTTATCGGGAAAAAATTAAGTGGTGACCTAGTAAGAACTCTGTACAAAAATGTTCAGCATAAAGCAATCCAACACTAAAACGAAATTAGAAACGCAGAACGCGCTGTAGTAAAATACGTACGATATAACTGCTAGATGCAATTTGTCGGCTAGGCAGCGGACCGTGGTCAGGAATGTTTTCAGCTGTCAGGTTCACGCTTTCATCATTTTATGCTGGTAAACAGATATCCGGTTACACCTCAGAAAAAGAATGCTCTCCGATATGGTTTCAGAAAACCGATCTGATGTTGGGGATATTGTAGATGGGAATTTGTATGAAGTTGCTCCTTAATCAGATAAAGCATCGCCCAGCTGATGAGTGCCAGATTCTGGACAAACGGTCAGACTGAAGGGCACATGACGGTGGCTCACAGTTGACCTGGGCTTTGCTGTTCTGCTGCACATATGGGCACTGNTTGACCAGACCCGGGATCGAACCCGGGCCGCCGCGGTGGGAAGCCAGCGACTAACCGTTTGAGCTATGGCGCGGCTTCAACCTTAAGGATAGTTGGTCACCGCCTCTGTGGTCTGGTGGTCAGAGCTCCTGGCTACACATCCGGAGGTCCGGGTTCGATTCCCGGCGCTACCAGATTTTCTGAGAAGTAGTAGGTCTGCAACGGGGCCCACTCAGCCTCGTGTAGATAACCGAGGAGTTATTTCCAGGAAATAGCGGCTCCGGTCTATAAAACCGAAATTAACGGTCGTGTGGATTCATTACGCTGACCACGCGACACCCTCTATCCGCTAAAGTTGGCAGTAACTTCGCCGACAAGCGGCGGTCGCTCGTTCGGTATAGTTAGCTTGCGGACTGAAACCACGGAGTTCGTTTTTGTTGTTGTTTGATGAATAGATGGTGGCAACACTGCACATTACAGCTAGTACACAGTGGCGTCAGACCTTATCACTCGTAGTGTATGACAGCACTGCATCATCAAATTCCTGGTGAAGAAAGTGAAACCACCAGAAATTCTTCGTAGATTAAATGCACGGTATGGTGAAGAGGGCCTGTCACGTGCAAGTGTCTATGATTGGTACAATAAGTTTTCTGAACGACATAAAGAAGCCTCGAACCTACCTCAAACCAACGTTCTGTGAAGAGCTGTAAGCGATGTGTACATTCATGGTCTGGAAGTGCTGATTTAGGGAAATAATCAAATTGCAGTAGGTGATATTGCATCAAGCAGAGGCATATGTGTTAACGCTTATTGTTCAAGAAATTTGTGTGCCTAATGGATCCCAAAGATGTTAACGTTCGACCAGGAGCTGCGTCTTGCTGTGTCTGTCGAGCAACTGCACCAGTTGGAATTTGAGGGAAACACATTCGTAGAGAACATAATGATCAGTGACGAGACGTGGGTGCATTACTTCACTCCAGAGTCGAAGCAACTCTGCAAGCAATAGCGTCAGAAAGGATCTCCACCATCCAACAATTTGAGACACAGCTGTCAGCTGGCAAGATCATGAAAGTGTGTTCAGGGATTTAGAAAGAGTGATTCATACTGATTTTCTCCCACATGGTATAACAATTCATGCACAGTAGTACAGTAACTTTCTTCGCAATGATGTGCACCAAGCGATTCACAAGAAAATAACTGCGAAACTGTCAAAGAATATGATCCTACTGTATGTGAACGCTCTAACGAATAATGGACTGGGAAATCTCGAACTATCCTCTTTACAGCCCTAACTTAGCCCCTTAAATCTTCGTTTGTTTGGACCACTGAAGATGGGTGCACCTAGGAGGTCAGAAATCTCAAACTGATGATGAATCCAAATGCGGGGTCCTAAACTGGCTACGCAGTCGGGAAAAAACCTTTTATGCTGATGGCATCAGTAACTTGCCAGGATAATGGAAAAAATATGTTAATGTAAAGGGAGAATATCTCCAAAAGGAGTGAGAGTTTCGTAAATCTTGCATGTGTAAAAAAAATAAAGCATAGGTCAACCCTGTACCACCCTTGTATACGCGATGTACTCTATTCTTCCTGTGGACGTTACGTCAGAGTGCTTTAGATTGAGGCTGGGGGGGAGCCACACGAGTGGACGAAGTAGCAACGAACGTTGTTGAGGACAACACACAGTTGCAGAATGCGGCGCGTAGTTTTTTGTCTGCAATAGAGCCAGAAGAAAGCGTAGCATTCGCCTCTCTTGTTTATTTCTACAACGGACGTCACGACGTTCGTTACAATGGACGCATTTTGTGCGCTCGTGTGGCCCCGGCCTAAAACCCCGAGTAAATGACAAATGTCACAGTCTTACCAGACGTAACTACTGCTACTACGGCAAACACGCTAGTAGGATAACGGCAGGAACGAAACGTAATTATGTACATTCTGTTTTTTATCAAGTTCCACGTTTTTATCATCAAGTAGAACGAAATATCTCGTGTTTTCACAACTACCAACACCTATATGCTTTGCATAAAGCATTTCGATCAGTAACTCGCCATCTCCGAGTGCATTTAAATGAATAAAAAGTCTTTAAACCACGTATAAATATAATGCACGGCCCCATTAGTTTCAACATGCGAATGGCTCTTACCGTGTAAGTGATGGTATTGACTGGTGGGAGGCTCCTACCCATTTTCTTTTCGGTCAGCGCGGCCACCTCTTTTCCGCTGCCACCTCCCCCACCTCCATCCGAGTCTGCAACAAGCAATACACAAATCATTAACACATGTTCACTTAACAGATAAAAACCACATGTTTCACTCATGACACACGTTTACACTTATGGTGCAAAAGCAGTTTCCCTTTCAGACGTTCAAGAATGGGTAGGTATAGAATCTCTTTGTCGTCAATGCTGCCCCAAGTCAGAAGATAAAATAAATATGTTGACAAAACAACTTTTGTTATAAGGGGTTGTAAACATTCTTGGGATGACATAATTTGAGGTTCTCTGAGACATAACACTGCGCAGTCCATTGAAAGTCAACCGGCGTTTCGGAGGAGCATGTCGCATCCATCTTGAGAGTTGAAGAATAAACAAGACACCATGACGCACGTAGTAAGAAGAGCTTTGCTTTAACGGACTACACGGAGATATATCCCAGGAAACAAAACTCTTCTTCAGAGGACGATTTCACGCCTCTACTGAGTTCACACAAGACCAGCATTTCACACAACCACTTCGTACAATGACCTAAGGAATAACGTGGTACGTCCTGGCGAAGCGATCAAGTCAATTATCACTGCAGGACACATTTACTTTTCAAGCAGTACAACGGATTTACGAGATATTACAGCCTAATGTGTGGTGTTTTATAATAATGAAAGTCCAATAAACTCTTTAAACTGAGCCATAGTTTTCGTATGCATTAAAGTTGATTTGTCTGACAACAAAAACTAAGGAGAAAGAATTAACTTAACTCTATGGCTTTAGTCCGCAAGCGAATTGTACCGACCGAGTGACCGCCGCCTGTCGGCGAAGTTAATGCAAACTTTAGCGGATAGAGGGTGTCGCGCGGTCAGTGCAACGAATCCTCATGGCCGCTAATTTCGGTTTTCTAGACCGGAAAGGAGAAAGTATAATGTGACCCAAAAGAAATTAAGAGAAGAAGGAAGGATACTAGACCATAACGAACTTCAGCTCTTTTATTGTTCACCTAATATCGGTGAACCCTACTGTTTTCCCAACGACTGCCCTCCACTGGCAGAACTCAAATTCGAGCCTTGCACCTGTGTTTCTCTGAGTTAGGCAGCATTCTACATGCCCTACCAGAACGTTCCTTTAAGTGGTTTCGAGTTTCCTGTCTCTGCATTTTCCTGTTTGCTTCCATAATTCCGTTCCGCTTTGTTTCCTCCTCAGCGTATTAATAACTTCTCTGTTTATATTTCCTTGTTTGCGTATCAATACGTCACAAATTATTCCGTGGAAATTACTGAAACTTTAGCCATTGCTAAATATTTACAGATGTAATCTATCCATAACAACCTGCCCATCGATTTGCTACAATTATACCATTCTGCACGAACAGGATTATATGTGTATAGAAATTATATATCTTCATAGGATCACCGGAAACACGAATATCTTAAACAAGTGTGGGATATGTAGCTGAATTCATTTTAATTCGTTTACACCGTTCAGTGTGCGCTCAGAGAAGGCGTGCTTGTTTAGTTTCGGTTAAGAAATGAATTACCGTATTTACGCATGTATAGGCCGCACATTTTTTGCCAAAAATTCAAGAGGAAAACTGGGGTGCGGCTTATATTCGAAATATTCGAAATCACACTTCATTAAAAAAATTATATTCATAATTATTTCGGAATAATTACTACTCCTGAAATAATATTCCAAGAAAATTATTTTTTCTATAATTTCTGTCTGAAAATTGTGCTGCGGCCCATACACGCACGCGGCCTATACATGCGTAAATACGGTATCTATAATCCCAACCGGCCAGCCGATCAGAGCATTTAAGACTACGAGTATATTACGAATTTACACTTGAAACGTGACATTGTTATTAATATACTCTCTGGATATGGCTTCTTCAGAGGGTAATCCTCGTCTCAATATTACATAGTTGCTTGTTACCCACTGCTGTCAGCTTTACTGAAACTAATATTACTCGCATGAATCTTAGGCATAAAGGACATCCGTAAACATAAAGCAAAGGCCACAAGTATCATCCAGCTAACAGTAAATGTATGTTCCCTACCTCGTTTCTCTCGATAAGTACAAACACAACACTCATGTATCAACAGACATTTCCAAATCCAAGCTTCGTACGTATCAGAGGTGGCCACACTTACGGGAAAACGAAAACACATCATGATATTTCCAGAAGTCTGGGGGCCGCGAGGATGGTGCAGGTGTTTAGGCATAAGCTTTACGCGTAGCAGATATCTGCATTCAGTCCAGCTGTAAGAATGGGGCTGGTTATTGTCCCCCCCCCAACTGCCGCATTAATGGCTCAAAAAAGATCAGCAAGCGACTCGCGAACCACGTTTAGGTCATCCCGTACATACGAGTACATTCCCCAACCACAAAAGGCCTCGTAGAATAAACCAAGCGCCTTAAAAGGCTGCTTTGAAATGGCGGTCTTATGTGTGTTGCTTTTATATTACAAAGAAACGATTAATCATGTTGATGTGTAGTCTCACGGCACTGTATTTACGGAATTTTATACTTACAAAAATTCAATCCAGGGCCGCAAGTGGTGATCACTCTGTTCTAGAAAGACAAAGGTTTGTCCATCCTTTGTTACTCTTCCTTCCTGTTCTGTCAGTGTACTTTGGACTGGGACTTTCATTGTAATTTTGTCTAGTTAATCAAGACGAGGATGTCTACGTGCGTTTATTCTGTGTGTAGGTAGCGGCCTTGCAACGGGCTTATCCCCCGTCCAAGGAGTCTTAGAGACTGTGCATATAATTAAGAAGGTGGAAAAGCGGCCAAGGTCCGAAGGGCTGTACAGCCATAGAGAAAAGAAATTAAGAAAGTGAGTTAACAATCGAGGAGTGCTGCAAAGTAATGGAACTGAAGTTGTTGTATAGTGTAGCCACAGAATGCGTTAACCATGGCGTGGACATGTCGAAATGAGTCCCGAAAAAATAAATATATTAATTTCTAACTATGAACAAAACAATAGACTAAATGAAATTATGACACAAAGAACTAATTTTGTGGCTATTAAATATTCGTTTACAATAAACATGCATGTAACTGAATGTTCCAATATTTCTATTCACTCCTTTTGGATTGTTTCGTACTGGCGGGAAACTCCACTTAGAGCTTCGATCGTAATTGGGAGATATGAACCAAATTCATACATTTTTTTATTCGATGAGAGAAAATTGATATCGATATACCCTTGTTCCAAATTCGGGCTGAAAGTATCTCATATGGTTTATTATTAAAAACATGAAAAGTTAAAATGAAATGAAAGTCTGCTTTACCGTTTCTCACGGTGTTGTCGCTTGCAGATTTCTTATACTTTTTCTTCTACCCTGAAGATGGGGGCGATACGTTCCTCCGAAACGTCGGTTAACACCACATATACACGGTGCCAAATCCCAGAAGACTGCTTTCTTCATAGTCACCGCCGTGAAAGCCTCAAATCTTAAAATGAAATGAGTTCACACAGCCACTTAACCACGTGTGCACACTTCACTCTTGCAGTACACGAGCCCTCTTTCACTACTCCACACCAGCACAAAAGATGTGCCGACGGGATGGAAAGTCTTTATACTACTTAGAGTTACCTTCTGCATTATGGTTGCATTTTATGAATGAAAATGAATGGCTCTAGGGCTCTTGAGAACACAGTGAACCCACATATGGGTTTCTAAAAATTGGACGAATTTTTTACTAACTGAGCAACTATCAGGTGCTCAAAAAGGCTGCTCCATTGAATAAGTTAGTTATGAAATGCCGTTAAACGCCGATTTACTTTTTGTATAAAGAGGAGCAGCAGGGATTTTAAATTTTAATACCATGGTATTCTGGTGCATAGGTACCAAGATTAGGGGCAATGTGCTGCCTCCATCTTCAAGGTACTCATTAACGCAGAATAGTCCCTGCGAAAGGTTGGTAATCTATCTACTAATTGATACCGGGCTCGGAAATCTATTATTGCCAAGGGTCATTTCTTTCTTAAAACTGTTAGGAAAAGGTGATTCTATTTAGCCTCGCCCCGCAGAATTTGTCTTCATGGTGTGTGTGCTTGTAGTACAAACACGTTATATAGGCCTATATATACCTATAACGGTCCTTGGCATAGGACTTGGACACTTTACCGGCCAGCGGCACAGTCTGTGTTGAGAAACACTACCAGGCTACAGAGGGCCACATCCCAGAAGACTGCTATCTTAACATTCACAGCCGTGATAATCTTCTACATCTTTACATTTATCTTTCGCTTAATGCTTATTTTGAAACAAATGCCTTTACATTTTTATCTGATTTTTATTTACCGCTTATATTATGTAGGCCTACCCTGACTCTTTGAGACATTTATTTAATGATCATATGGATCTACTGACTGCGACTAATACTGTTGTCTCCTTTCACAAAAAAAAAAACACACACACACAGAGAAATTAAAAGTAATGGATTTTCCGATTACTACCGCCTTGGAGTGCTGATTTTCCGGTTTAGAAATGCAAAAGTCCGGCCCTTCTTTTTTATCACTAACGACTTTTTTACTCAACTGTAGGATTTTGGCAATTTGGTGGACAGTGAAGGGTCTACAACTGTTTAAAATACAACAGACAAAAAGCAGATAAGTAACAGAGCAAAGAATTAACCGACACACCCCCACCAATGAACATTGCAGCTATGGTGAAAGTAAAAAAGATGAAGCTGTCCTTGTCCTTAATTAAACACCGCGCCATTAAAACATACGGTGGAGTGGAAGTATAACTCCATGCATTCTTAACCTCTGTACTAGATGAAGGCGAGTTGTCAGTTTCATGCTCCGGCCGCTCTATTTCGTGGAAAACAACCCCGTTATCTACTGGATAGGATGCTGGGAGGGCCCCACAGTCCGTCTGGACGGCGAGGGGACGAGAATAATCTCTTTCCTCTGCAGGGAATCGAAGGTGGATTCCTCCGTCGTCCAATCCGTAGCTCAGTCACACTATACATATTGAGCCATCCCGGCTCCTGCATTGGTGTTATAGCCAAACGCAAACCTACGTTT